GTTAACTTTCCTATGGGAACGATGTTGCTACCCCGATTGAAAGTGACGGTTATCTGTTCAGAATACGACGTTATACAATACGCCATTTGATAGATAAAACCTTGACTTTCTATTGGTTATAGGTAATATATATAATGAAACATAAGAGAGAACTATCAATGAATTGTGAAAGAGAGGATGTGAAAAGTGCTTGTGGCAAGAAGGGTCTGATTTTCTATTTGATAGCTCTGTAACCAAACAAAATTGAAGGCTATAAAAATTATGGTCTGTTTGAGAAATAATGATTTTATAGAGAGTATTTTACATTTAATTTCATACATTTTTGAGGGATGTTGGATAAAATAGGGATGATGATATGCTAAGACAAAATGTGTCACGTGTGTTACACTAGTGGAAATTCCGGATTTCTTTACATATTTCCTTTTAGAATTAAGAACTTAAAACTTGTATACTATTAAAATATAAATTATTTGCTGAGATTTTATGCTATTCTAATTGGTATAACATAAACAAAAAGTAGTTTAATAAAATTTTTAATGTAAGACACTAAAACCTTGTGTCATGCACATTAAAGGATACCCGGAGTGATAGGGTTAATTATGTATTATTTATGTTTTAAAATGCATAATTGAAAGATTTATTGATTTTTATACATTTATCTTGTTCACCTTAGATGGTGAAAGTGTATAAACAAGATTGCTTGTGCAACATTAGTGAATGGCATGTGTGCATGGCTGAGCATAGTAGTTGGTGTATAATAACTATAAAGCCCCATGGACTTTACATTGATGTATTAACATGAATAATAAAAGACATTGTGTTTGAAGGGAAAATTAAGAATAAACTAAGTGAAAAGATAAAGACATATATATATCAGAATAATTTATAAAAAACTATATGAAGGGTTGAATGGTGCATTTCCATTTCTTAATTTTAGATATTTCATTGCACTGTATGTTGATGATATGTTAGTGATGTATTAGAGAAAATGTGAAATATAAACTGAAATATAAACATTTACCTTAAAAACTTCTAATATTCATTTATGAGGTTCTAGAGATTATGCAAATGAAATATATTATTGTGATACATCACATTAAAATCACCTTGCAGGTGAACTATTCAGAGTCCAAGTACATATTACTATATCAAAAACTAATTTTTTATTAGAAATACCACGAAAAATCATATTTAAATATTTTTCTGAAACTATATGCTTTTAGGAAAGCTCTTGCCAAATTTCAAACAATTTCATCATTTTTATTTTTGGAAGGAAACATAATGATAGCAATGTTAGGTCCTTACAATTTGGGGATCCAGATATCATAAGATTAAAAAGGTTAATTGTGTTGTGCTCTTGGTTTTACCCAGACTCAAAGCTCTGAGCTACACATACTACAAAAATAATTGTTAAGCATTTCAGTCATGCTAAGAGACACTCAGCAATAACATATTGTAAATCTAAATTTTTATTTTTTAAGTTATGTCACATTTTGAAATATGAATGGTAGTGTGATTAATTCGTAACAATTTAGTGTAGAATATGCTGCTTGCAAAATACAATTTGGCATCAATGTTATTCATGTCTGTTCTTCTGTCATTTTAAAAGTGAATGTTGAGCTTTGCCTGCATCTGCAAATGCAGTGCAGTAAGCAGCCTGCATAAACGTGATAAAGAGGAATCCTCGGGCAGACACCACAGTTTGCAATATATTCATAAAATATATATTTTTTTGCTAGTAAATGGCTGCTTTTAAAGAGACCTTAAACATATACAAAAAAAGTAATATTTTCTTATATGTATGTGGTTTTATGTCAATTTTGGTTTCATATAAGGGTTATGGAAATATAAAAGAAATTAAGTTTTGTCCACTTTTTAAGTACATTATAAAATTCACATATAGCCTTTATTAAACTTTAAAAGTGATTGTTCATTCTTTATTTGTTTTGTAGTTGTGGCAGTTTTTATTTTCCAGGTGCTGTAGAGAAACAGAAGCTTGTGTACATCCTTAACCGTGATGCTGCTGCTCGATTGACAATTTCATCTCCCCTTGAAGCCCACAAATCTAATACACTTGTCTGTCACATGGTTGGAGTGGATGTTGGTTTTGAAAATCCAATGTTTGCTTGTTTAGAAATGGATTATGAAGTAAGTTGCTGTTGCATTCTTAGATTTTGCTTTAAGAAGAAAATCAGTAACATAGAATGTATCAAGAAAGATGAAATGCTTAACTGTGAAGCTTGTCAGTTTAGATGAGCCATAAAAGGTTGTTAGAATTCCTCCAGGAAATTTATCATATAAAGTTCCTAAGAATTTTGTATGATGAGACTTGTTTTTCTTCTATAATATGGAAGAGTTGAAAAAATTTTCATTTTTACTTTGAAGCATTAACCCTTTCACAACAGGCTTGTGTATCATACATGACCTTATAACCACCATGCAACCATAAATGTATATACACAATAACTCTGAAAGTACTTAACATATCTTCTTGAAATTTGGCAAGGTTTCTGTAAACATTAGATGTCTTTTATAGACTAAAAATCTGAGTTTTTAACTATTTTGACTAGAAATTTGTCCTTAAATATATGGAGTGTGACAGTTTTGACTGCTTCATGTGCAAAGTGATATTCATGTTAAAATTAAAAATACTTTTCTTCATCTGAAAATGTTTAAGTTTCATTTCTGCAAGATGTAGAATATCCTAAATTAATATCAAACCTTTTCTTTCTGAAAAGCTATCTTTTATTTTCTCTACCATATTTCTCAGTGGGGTCGTCAATTTGACCAACCTCTTAACCACCATAAAAAATTGGGAATAAATCTAAATTAACCTTTTTTATTTCTAGAATGATTGCAAATTGTAACAGGAAACAGCATTTGTTTATCTTAAGTAGCTTAAAGTTCTTAACAGTGTATATCTCTTTATACTTAATTTTATTGTTTTAGTGACCTTTGAGCCTTGTCTAACTAATAATCCTGCCATATAAGCTGTAAATAACTTGGCAAAGTGCTGTTGAGGTAACCATTTTGAATGACATAATGCATGAACTGCTCATAAACATACATTTTTTTTGTTCATTATCTTACCTTATTGAGCCTAGTATGTTTAATTTTTACATTTTAGTTATTTCATTATTAATAAATAAAAATTACACTTGAAAAATGAGAAATGTAGTACTTATCTGATCTTGTTGTGTTTTTTTTCTGTCCACTGTTGATGAAACTTAACCCTACTCTTTTAAACTAATGGTACTACTACATTAAATTTTGTTATTTAATTAAATAATGCCTTTATGAACATAGAATAATAATGTACAAAAAGTAAACAGTGTTCTATAGCTATCATAATTTTTCTGGCTTTCTAACTGTGAGATAAGAGCCATCAGCTAAGCTCGTCAATGTGATTCCTGCGAGAAAAACTTTGAAATAGAACAACGAAACAGACAATTTTCTGTGCAGAAAACAATCTAATATAATATGTCAGTTGATAGATTAAAACTTTGGCTTTCTATTCATTATAGATAATATAGTATTAACCCTATCTGCCTGGGCATCATTTACTGCATGCGTCATGAGGTTTTAGTGACTTACATTCAAAATTTTATTAAACTACTTTTTTATTTATTTTATAACAATTAGTATAGCATAAAATCTTAGCTAATTATCCTTATTTTAAAAGTGTGTAAGTTTTAAATTCTTAATTTCATAAAGCAATATTTAAAAAAATCCTGAAATTCCACTAGTGTGACACATTTTCTCCAGGCATCTCCTCTTCTTTATTTTATTCACCACCTATCTAGTAGGTATGAAATTAAATGTAAAGCTCACTGTAAAATCATTATTGCTCAGACAAACCATGATTTTTATAACCTTCAATTTTGTTTGGTTACAGAGCTATCAACTAGAAAATCAGCCCCCTCTTGCCACACCCACCTGTAACAAACTCTCTTTCAGGATTTCATAATAACACTGGTCAACAAAATCAAATTTTTTTTTCTCTGATTAAAGATGTAAACACACTTTTCTGGACCAGTTTTGTATGCTGATTCCAAATCTGGTTATTGAAATATGAATGGGGATATTTCAGCACAATTTAGGTAATAATGACAAATTAGACTAATTAATGTTAGAACTTTATTCATTTTTCAGTATAATTCCCATAAATGTTATAAACACCATACACTTGGTTTAATTTATACAGTACACACTTATGACAAAAGAAATTTACAACAACTTAAATTATAATTAAGACAATAACCTTTCAAATTTGATCGGTTTCATCGCGAAAACTTGACGTGCTAGAGGAAAACAAAAACAGATTTGGAATCGCCATTCCAAGAGCTATCTAGCCAACCTTTAATTATATCTAATAAAAATTACTTGTTGGCCAGTGTAGTTTTCATTTACATTTAATTCTTTATTACCTATAACCAATAGAAAGCCAAGGCTTTCATCTATCAAATGATGTATTATTGGAGGATTGTCAGTTTTTATCTTGGTACAACTTTCATTCCCATGGGAAAGATAACTAGTATGAATGTTGCATACTTAAAAAGCCAGAAAAATTGTGATAGAGGAAATTGTCTGCTTTTTGCATGTTATTATTCTATGTTTTTTGGTGCATTATTTTAGTAAATAAAAATTATTTAGTGCATTACTACCATTAATATTAAAAAAAAAAGTAGGGTTAAGTATCATCCACAGTCAATAGCAAAAAAATAAAATAATACTCGAGTAAGTACTTTATTTCTGGTTTTTCATGTTTATTCTTTATTTATTATTATAAAAGCTACTAAAATGTAAAAAATAGGGATCTTTTTTTGGTTACTTAAGGTTAGATTAGGTGTTATTTATAACTTATAATGGTGGGAAGAATAGTATTTAGACACAGTTCAAAGAGCAATAAAACAACATTAAAGTTTAATTATAAATAGATGTATACTTTTAAGAGTTTAAAGCTACTTTGGATAAACAAATATAGTTTCATGTTACAATTTGAAGTTATTCTAGAAAGAAAAAAGGTATAACTTAGATTTATTTAGAGTATATTTTTTTTAATTTTATTATTATTATTATTATTTCTGGTGTTTATGTGGTTGGTCAAATTGACCAACCTTGTCTAGAGTTAGGGTAGAGAAAATAACAAACAAAAATAATTTTTTAGTGAAATATATTTAGCAGGTTTTGGAGATTACAAAAATGAAATTTGAGATTTTTTAGAAGAAAAGTATTTTCAATCTTAACAGGAAAATCACTTTGCATATAGATTATTCAAAACACTTGATATATTCACAGACAAAACTTTTTTTAGTTTATTTAACCCTTTCCAGATAGGTCATGGTTGAAAAGCCATGTCATTGAGTTGACTCACTTTAAATATTTTATTGAACTACTATTTCATTAATTTTTATCAATAAGTTTGGTATCAAGCTGTAGATTATAATTCAAATTTTAGTATTATACCTTACTCAATTTCTTAATTTAAAAGTAAATTTAAAAACAGTTAAACATCGGTTTTTGTGTGTCACATGGTATATTGAATGCAGCACTGTCAAAATACTAAGTCTATAGTTAAAAGTAAAAATAAGATAAAATTAAGCCACCCAAAAAATTTATATTTCTACTAAATAATGCCTAACATCCTCCACCCTTAAAAGTTCTAAACAATCCTTAAAGTAGAATAAATACCACCCTAATAATTCTACTATATGTTACTCCCAACTAGCATGGGAAAGCTGAGACAAGTTCAGCTACTTGAAGTTAGTATTTCCAGTCCCGTCTATACTGAATAAATTTAACTTGCATATTAAAGGTAGTTACCTACCTCTAGTGACGAAAAGGTTTGTTCCTCATTGAAGATTTATCTAATAAAATATTTTGAAATTTATTATAAAAACTTGTGAAAAACTTTTTTAGTTGCTTGTATTTATATCCATTATTTTCTAATGTAGTTAGGAATAATATAACATTATTCATAAAAAAGGTGCTGTTGTTAGAAAAAGTTAAAAATCTTTTTAATTGAGACTTAATAATGCCTTTCAGCATCATATGAGGAACAACACTATTAGGGGTGGGCAGCCAAAGGACGGGAAAATTAAATGCTCTTCTCTTATCTGCTTTTTTGATTTTGTCTGATAGATGGGATATCCCCAATGCTTTTGGGTGCTATTACCACAGGCAAATCTCCGTTATGACCTTTGAGTAACGATCGGAAAGTGTGAAGGTTTTTTTTTTGTTGACTCGTATTCAAAATTTTATTGAACTACTATTTTGTGAATCTATGTCATTAAGTTTGGTATCAAACCGTAGATTATAATTCAAATTTTAGTATTATACCTTACTCAATTTCTTAATTTAAAAGTAAATATTAAAAAAACACAGTTAAACATTAATTTTTGTGTGTATATTGAGTGCAGCACTGGTTCAAATTAGGTGTTTGTGATGTAAAAATACTAAGTATAGTTTTATATGAATTAGGAACTCAAATTACCGATATTAACAAGCTAGAATATATAATAAGAGCTTTTTATATTTTCAGTTTGCTAAGATATTGTGCATGTAATAAATCAAACACAGTGGCACCTCTACCACCTCTTTCCATTTTTGGAAATGCTCCCTTATAAACACTTACTTCTATATATGACATAAATAACCAATCGTAAGCTCAGAATGTCCCGCTGGTGGCTTTCTCAGCCATTTTAATGTGTTTGGATGCCATTTATTTCTTTCAAACCAAGATTTCAATGAGGTAGGTTGTAATAAAGTAAAATAAAGATTTGTCCATGAATATATTGGGTATATTTGTTTTGAATAGTCCTTGTGCAAAGTAATTTT